CCGGGGGGTCCCAGCTACCCCCCCGGGCTCACCATGCTACAGAGAGGCTGGCTGGGGCATGAGGGCACTTCAGCATGGGGCTAGCCAGCAGGCAACCCCTGCACTGAGGTACCCTCATGCCTCAGCCAGCCAGGGCAGCATCTACACATGCCCTGCTGAGATGATTTTTTATTCTACAATATTTATAAGTATTATCCTGCTGCAGAATAAATTTGTTTACTCCGGGCTAATCGGGGTGCATGCGGGTAGATGCCAGGCCATTTACTACACGGCTAATTAGTCTACTGTACACTAAAAAGCTCATGTAGATGCACCGTCTGTGTAGATATATTGTTTTCCTACTTTCCCAGTGGAGAGCTAGCGCACCCCTGCAAGCACAATTGGCTTTAGAATCAGATGGTTCTCCCATTCATTCAACGAGAAACCTGCACTAAAAGGCATCTGCCTGATCAGAATTGTAATATTCCTGACTTTAGAGTCATGTTCTATGTATTCTCAAGTGGTTGGGACCCACATGTCTTATGTTATAACAGTGTTCTCTATCCATGAAGCTTATGGGTAACCATGGCTTACAGCATCCTTCACTCCTATTTCTATGAGAGCTGACTGCTGTGCTTCATTTTTCTAAGAGGACAATATTGTATTTATACCAGCCCCACTGGGAAAAAGTTTCAAGAAGATGGAGCACCAGGTGAAAAAATGGATCTTATTTTCCTCCCAGTCATGTTTATGCAGGTTTCTCCAATGACTTCATTTCAAATTTGAAGTTTAAAATTTCTCACACAACCATTTGTCCTAGTCCATTGTAATCAAAGTACATAGCTAACATCCCTTCTGTTCAGTGAGGCAAAACAAAACACATCTGTTTTTGAGGTCAATCTATTTGAGGGGATACAATAAGCCAAAAAATAAAAGTAAATCAGAACACTCCCATTGATAGTGGCAGGACAGAATTTTCCCAAGTAGCAACCCCCTTTTTCAAATTCCCTTGTGAAGATCTGTAGCATATGAAACTTCAGGGAGATTGATTTCTATTGGAGAAACTTAAGAGGTTTTGAAAACCTGTCCTAAAAAGGGCAGCTAGTTTCAACCTTAACTGTGAAATGACTGCTACTATTCCGTAATCTTGGGAACCTGACACTGTTGCTTCAATTTCAAAAGAATTAATGACAGTAGACATTACAAAAAATATGTATTTCAAGATAGCATTTGTTTAGTCTCCAGTTCCAGGTAGGTTAGATTGCTCCATATCTCTATACCTTTTGGGACAGTGTAGATCTTGTTAAAATATGTTAAGGTTTTATCAGGAAGCAATGAAAGATCTTCTGTTGTAAAGAAAACAACATTATGTTTCTATTAGTATTCCAGTGGTAATGTTAAAAAAAAATTGTATATGCATTATTCTCATATTTCATCTTAATTTTTAACAGTGTAGCATGGAGTATTTCTATTTTTTCCCACTTTATAAGTCAGGAAAGATAATGCTATAAATCAAGGTAATGATTATGTTAAGAAATAGATAGATTGAGAGACCAAAATGAAAAACTACCTCAAGACTGAATTCTCCTGATGCGAGCTTTATACTGCCTTAGACCCTTGCATGTCAAAACTTGCATTTAAATCCCAATTTTAAGTAAAACACATTTTCCACATAATCTGTGTTTAAGCTGTTTACTAGTAAGATGGATATTTTCAGATACAATTGATCTGCTTTTCTCAATCCTGAACTTCTAAAGCAAAGATAGATAGACTGGATCTTTCAACATCTTATCATGGGCACCATGCATTGGAATTCAAAAAGAATATCAGAGTTCCTTGTCAGAAGCTGTATAAATATGAAATAAAATGCATACCTGGGCTGGATGAATGGCATGGGGCCAATGTGTGGGCTAGGCCCAGTAAATAGGGTACATTCACAGGCCAGAACTGATACATGCAGCCATTGCATTGGTTCAGGCCAATTTAGTCTAGTCTAGTGTGCAGAGCTGTGTCATCTGGCTTGTGGATGACTGTGTCATCTGGCTTGTGTGCAGAGCTGTGTCATCTGGCATCTGGCTTGTGGTCCAGAAACTTAGCAGAAGGAACCATGGGGAGCCCACAAACTAGATGACACAGCTCTGTAAACTGTATTTTGATCACCCCTGGACTAGATGAGCCTCGAGTTCTCTTCTTATCTTATGGTTCTAATACAACAATTACGATAAGTCATGCGTAAGGTCTCTCTCCAAAGGATCAAAAAGCTTCACAGTCGATAATGACAACGTTAGAGATTTTTAGTCATTACTTTCACCTCCCCCTAATCATTTTATTTATTTATTTATTTATTTTTGTAGCAGACAGTCTAAGCTTTTAATTTTTTCATCCTTGGCCCCATAAGACCTGGGTTCAGAAGCGTGTCCTGTTTTAAATACATATTAGCATAATGCTACCATAACAATGGCCTTTTGATGCCAAAATCTCCTCTTATCCAACCAAAGGAGGCATTTCATCATTGAGCGATGATGAATAAAATAAATCACAGGGTTTATTTTAAGGTGATCTAGGGGCTTCTCACTTACCCAAGACTTTTGTGCTCCATCTGCGGTGTTTGGAAAGCTATTGATTTCAGTGGGAGAGCTATCTGCTGCAGAATGAGTTTCTAAGTATATTTTTATATTAGGATTTTTTAATTAATGTTTTTATTTCTCTTGTATTTCTCATTGTACAAGAAAGGGATAAAAAGAGGCATTGATAGTGAGCAAAGAAGTAACTTTATGCATGCATGCTTGGTTCTTCTGAACTAAATCACTCAGGGTATTGTTATAGGGTAATTTTGGGTGGCTTCTAGAGTTCTTAACCCCTGCATTGTCTGCACATTAACAACTGAAACTGGTTTCAAACATACATTATACGGCTCAAAGTTCCAGGGAAGATGATCTCTGATCTGTGTTACCTAACTCGTGTTACACTAAGGTGTAGCCACTCTAGCCCCTCCAGGCTTAGGGTAGCAGTGAGCAGGGTCTGTGGTGCTGGGGCGGCTGGGGGAAGAGCAGTGGGCCTGATCCAGGCCCTTGGGAAAGAGGAAGTGCATAGTGTGTTTATACTAAGGTGTAGCCACTCTGGGTGTAAACATACTACCCACTGTCCCTTCCCCACTGGCCTGGATCAGGTCTATTGCCCTCCCCCGCACCCTCCCCAGCATGCCAGACTCCATTCATTGCCCGCCTGGCCCCCCACATACTTGTGGATGCCCACACTGTGTGTTCTGGGGGAGTAGGCAGGGTAGGGTTAAACAGCGGCAGCTGCTGCTCTCTGGGCAGGGCTCAGCCCATAGAAGAGCAGAAGACCTGAAGCAGTGGCAGTGCTAGGCAAGCAGGTTAACCCTTCCCTGCCTGCTCCTCTGGGATAGGCAGAATTGCACGTATATACACAGCCACAAGTAAGCAGGGAGAAGGGATTTGGGGGGGGGGGGAGGACAGGAGCAGTGGGGGAGCCTGGAATGGGAGGGGGGGATTCATACCTTTCAGTCTACCAGGTTCCTGCAGGCCTGAACTGTGACTGCTTTAAACTTGAACTAGCAATAACACTGAGCAACATTTGTGCAGCTCAGTGTATCATGTAACAAAGCCCTTAATTTGTAAAGTAATCTGCAGTGAGGAAGGCCTTTCACCTGGGTCGGTGTTTCTGGGCTTTATGTGAGAAGTGAGTATTTAGCAGACTGATAAATGAAAATGAAATACAGTGTCTTGGCATCCTGGGATGGTTGTTTGACTCCCATTAATGAAATACATGAGTAGGGCACAGAGTCCAGACTTGATGACTCAACTGAGAAGGACATCACAGTTAGCTATTTAATAATCACCACAAAAAACTTCTGCTGTCTTACACCCTTGTAAGTGGACTTTCCTATCTTACAGTTTTATATTGTCGCCCATCTGTATATTATATGAGCATCTTCCAAGTAAAATCAATAGCAACAGCAAGGTCTCTGTGGACTTGCTGGAGTCTTTGGCACTTGTCCCTTTTCAGGTCAAAACTCTGCATGAGCCAAGATTTTTGATTGTGTTTCTTGTTTGCTTGCTGTGTTTTCTATTATTTAGATGTTAGTGATGTTCTGTTTTTACTCCTAGATTTGCACTGCATGGCTAAAACATTATATGGGGGGGGGGGGGGGGGGGGTGG